TTGCTGCCTGTTTTAAGTGAATATTGTCTGCCATTGAAAATATAATCCTTTAAGCTAGTCCAATATGCTGTGATGAAAACAATATATATTGTATTCATTGCAGTCATCATGAATACCATTTTACTGTTTTTTCCATTCGAGCAGGCTGCGGCGAAGTGACAGTATGTTACCGATTAGTCTTTTGTTCCTATAACAATTATGGTTCACTGCAATGCTACCAATCCGCGTGTTATGGAACATCGTAAACTTTATAGCAGTGGAAATTACATTGAGGTTTTTTTTGTCAGGGATACACTGTTAGGTTTCCATGAGTGTCGTCATATTACCATGTCATTTACAATTAACATTTTCTATTATCCCACCTTGTCCATTGCCAATAGGCCAGACAAACCAACTCCATGCCAGTTTTAGTTCATAAATGTCTTCATAATTAAATTACAATTAATTTTATAGCCGGTTCAAAGAGTATTTGAGGCATGAAGTACAAATAAGGTATACCGTATTTACTATATTAGAAGCACAATTTATTGAAATACGTCGTATTTTGACCATAGACTCGCCTCTACCATTCACATTTAAGCACAGGCTTAATACTTAATACACGCGTCTGATACAGCAAATTTAAAAACGCGTGGCGTGGAAACTGAACTATCGCGAGAGTATGCAAATATGGATAAACAAGTAATGCTAATAATCGTGCATAACGCTGTGCATTAAACATTTATATATAGACCAGTATATCAATCAATTTGTTATCAGAAATATGCCAGTATATGCACTAAGGTTGTATTGTTTTCATTAGCATATCCTATTACCAAACAAATCGGTCTATGACATCGTGAAACCAGGTCAGAAAATCACCCAAGGAAAACAAATATGAATGTTTTTGCTTGAGATACTTTAAAACGGGAGAAATCGTCACCTGCGCATGCGGCAGACGGTCACCGCCTGTCGTTGTTTATAAGCAAACCTCTACTCATTAGCCTTTGCGTTTTTAGTGTGCGTTGTTATCGTCGCTTGGGACTCAATTCCCGTGCATGCGCTTTACAAACATTTACATAAATAAATGCCCATTTCAAACCCGATTAATAAGTTTAAACTATTATCAAAACCACATTCATGAGTAAATCGTGCATTGTGTTGTGTTGACAACCAAAACCATTTTGACCTTTGACGTCAGCTGCTTCACTTCTTCAAAATCAATGAAAATGAGAGCAAACTGTTCTCACAATTGATAATTATACGCCCAGAAATTCAGAGGGTAAATCACAAATATATATCCAGGCTGATAGGCAACAGTTGCAGATGAGTTTAAAACAAATTTGAAACTACTTTTTGCAGCATAATACATACGAGAATAGTAAACAGTCCTCATTTGAACATGAACACGCGATGCTATTACCAGATGTCAAAAAAAAAAAAAAAAAAAAAAACAAGAGAATTTTGGTATGAACACTGAGGGCAGTATAAACCTTTAAGAGCATATTTTGTTATCAAGCGTGGACAAAGCAACGACATAGGAATTTCCAAAGTTCTGTGTGACCAAATAATTTCTAAGCCTTAGTTGTATGTATTTTATTCAATTTCCAAATAAAATCCAGCGAAGGGTCTAACTCTATGATAGACTATGATTTTTTTTATTGAACTTTTTGCTCAGAAAAATAACATACAGTGCAGTACTTAATATGAATTGTGCACATCTCATCCACTTGACATACTGTAGAATACTTTATTTTCGCTTATAATTTATTTTCGCTATTTTCGCTGAAGGGATAAAATCCAGTGAATATACTTTTTTTCCTATATATTTCACATTAAACTCATCAAAAACCAGTGAAAATAAATTCCATACAAAACGCCCAAAAACCCTTTTCCGGGGAAATTGAAAATTAATTCCAGCAAAATTAAAGTATTCCACAGTATTTTACTTCTGCATGTATTAAAAGTAAAACCTCTTTGCAAATCCAACAAATAGTCTTTCATACAAAATACAATGGAATATTGTTGCCATGTTCCATTCCAGTGTGCACTTAGCCCAAGCTACACACACTTTGTTTAGCCATGTTAAAGGGTTGGACCCGAGTCTTATAAACATTTAAGTTTTGTTTTCTGAGGCCATACTCAGGCCTTGCACTTGTTTTCTTAGCATGGGCTAAAGTTTTTAACCTTATAGCCAATACTAAAGAAGCTGAGCGCAAATGCAACTATGATCCCCTGGTAGAAATTTACATTGCTTCATGGAAAAAGTGTGTTTCTTTTGCATTTGCAAAACTGTGGGATTCAGATGACGTGGACCAGTATGTATATATTATCATGAAATAAATAAATAACCAACAAATTTGTCACAAAGTTTATCTATTTTTTTTTGAAACGCACATCTTCTTCAAGGTATGAACCAGACTGACATTGTGTACACTTATCAATTATTTTGGGTATTTATTTATTTGCATTTGGGAGACCTAATCATTATTGTACAGAATATATGGGTATATGTATATATGGCATATCAACTCAGGTTATCATTAAAAAACACCATTTACACATCATATATAAGTCAACAAACAAATTCCATGAAATTGAAGAAGAAAACAACTCGCAATCATTCAGAAATATTCACTGAGCAGTAATCTTGTTATAGGCTTGATGGTCCTTAGAAAGAGCTTAATTTTAACAATCAATTTAAAAAAAAAAAGGGAAACTTTGTATTGTGTAAATCCAATTCATACACATGCAGGTTATTTTGCAAGACTTCGTCAACGTTATTTATCTGTGAATTACTAGTCGTAACATAGAAAAACAGATTTTTTTAAACCAGATTTATTTCTTTATTTTATGTTTTGGGAGTTTTGTAATCCATATAATGCTGAACCAAAATGACGCACATGGGTAGTCATACTAGGAGCTACATGCTAAGTACAAATAAACATGACCTTGACAGTTGATATATTTTTATACCAATTTCATTAATTCAAGTCATGTACATGACAGTACCATCAGTCATGTGACCTATAGACATTGTCATGCTAATATAATTTATTCTTCCAATTTACCATACAAAAACTTATAAATTATAAACTGTTTTAAACATTTGCAAATATGAAGATGTTATTTAAAACAATATATGTTATTATGTAATTTTATCAGAAAACATTGCATATACAAACACTGCATATGTTCTAGAATGATGAAATTCATATGCTATTTGAATCACATCTAACTTATGTGAAAAACATTGTCACTATTTTAACCTTTTCACAGCCAGCCTTTCTTGACCAAATTATTATGCACTTTTTTCTAATATTCTTCAATATTTCTAGAAACGAACCCTAATTTTGGAGCCAATAGACGATTTAATTTTCCGTTTTTACTCAAACAATATTTTTGTCCTAATCTTCTGAAGGAAAGTGCAGACTATAAACAGGACTATTTTGTTCAATTGTGATGAAAAGACCAGTGGTGAAAAGGTTAACCTGCCTGTCAAAAATATCAATCCACTTGATCATAGTAAACGAGCCTAATAAGCAATGCAACACGACTCTCTCAATCTACTGAATATGTTTCCATGGTGATACAGAGCTCTGTGAGTGGCATTGCACTTCTGTATGGCTATGAACACTGCATTTCATTTCATTACTACTTTGATTTACAAGACGATATTACCAGTCTTCATTTTCTCCTTTTGTAAGGACTTCCACACCCGTCTCTGTGATTAAAATGGTGTGCTCAAACTGTGCTGATCTAAACAAAATCAAATTTAGAAAGCAACTCTTAATATGCATCAAACTCAAATAACATATCAAACAAACTATTTACTAATAAACAAAATCAAGAGGTGACAAAATAAATATCTGAAACTGTCTGTGTGGTAAAAAATATTGCAGTAATATTTTTGGGACTAAATTTTGGACAGGAAAAATATCTGGCTGACAAACGTAATTAATCTTCAATGAGGAAAATGGAACTGAGTTGTTTCACAAACAACACATTTAATTGCATTGCAAAATAATTCCCTGTGATTGAGAAGAAAAAATACAGTACCCAATCCCAAAAAAATTTTGATCTCAAACCACAATAAAAAAATGATGTGCATTAAGGTCCCATTGTGTTCAATCTACGTGTGAAATACTGCTTGATATGGACTGACACAGACACAGAGATCAATACACAAGTCAGAACATGGACTTAAAACAAATTTTGTTTCACACACACACACCAGTGTGAAACTTCTGCCTTTCACAATATATTTCAGTGAAGGATACCATGTGAATTAATTGGGAAATGTTTTATTGTTTCTTTTTTAATGCATGTATTTGAAATCACTTTTAATAGACATTATACATTCAATATACATCAAATTGTGGTAGAAAAAATAATTTTAATTAAAAAAAATAATAGAAGCAAAAAATTAAAACTACACCATTTTCCCTAGCACAAACTTTTTGGGCGAAAGGGCCTAACAGAACACAATATGAATATCTCACATCAACAGTGACAAAACATTCATACACAGCATCCAAAACATTGGTAATGTAAAATACAATTTTGAATCAATTATGTGATCTCTCACCTTTCATTATCTGATGACACAACTGTCCATTCATCTTCCAGCACCATTGGATATGTCTTACTGTCAGCAATGACTGGTTCTATTGTGAATACCATCCCTGGCTTCATTATATCAGTATATCTATTAGCTGAAATATAATTTATTTAAGTATGGTAACTTATTTTGATGCAACTTCTCTTTATGTTACATGTTTTTGCAAGTAACAAGACCACAAATGTCACTACATCATAGTCTATGTCAACAATGATGAGAAGTCGTACCAAGATTAACTGAGATATGTCCATGTATTACTGAGATCCGACACGGATTTTGATTTTTTAGCACTAAAACGGCCACTATTCGGCCATCTTGAGTTGGATCATGAAGCAAATACATGTGCATATGCATATGTATGATATTATGTGCAAAAGTAATAAGGCATGTCAGAGATGTCAGAGATATGACCCTAGAACTACATTTGTTAAAACAATGTGGCCACCAGTCGGCCATTTTAAATCCAATCCAGGAGAAAAAATGACATACATCAAGGACCCATAATGTTTAATGAACATACCAAGTTTGCATGAAATATGTAAATGCATATGTATGGTATGATGTGTGAAATCAATGTAATCAACCCATGCAATCAACCCATGCAGAAGCATGCACTCGTGGATTCACATACACAGGTGAACACACAGAGATGAAATTACAAGTCCCTGTTTTGGGACTACCGTACATCCAAACGTGGACTTAAAATAGATTATAAACAGCAAAATCATGAAATGAACAAATCTGATAGAGGCACACCCAAGGTACCTGCATCCAAATTATCAAAACAATTCAGCTTGTAATTTTCAAGGAAACATTGATAATATAATTTTTTAAACAAAACTGACAAAAATAAAATAGAAAAATTGAAGATATCATCGTGAACAAACCGAAAAAATCTGACAGAGGTCCACTTGAGGTACCTATGTACCAAATACCAAAGCAAATGGGCTGGTGTTATTCAAGAAGTATTCAAAATATTAGAAACACAGACGAGATGAGGACAGACAGCCTAAAAATGTAATGTAAGAAAATGTAATACTTAAAGTATATGTATACATACCATGGTGTAAAATATCTGGTGTTTCATGGAAGTTCTTTCCTATGCCATGCCCCATAAAGCTGGGACAGGTATAAAAACCTGCTTCAGTAGCAACTTTCCTGTAAATACCAAACAATCGATTGAGTGACCTAATATGGTATGAGGCAGTAATCAGGCTATAAAAGAATACACGCTAATTACTGGCAAATTTATTTCATGAGGTATAATACTAATTTATTATGAATAATTTTATTGAAAGCATGCAGTGTTATCTAAAAATAGAATACATATTACCATATATGGTCGACAGGGTCATTGGACAATACAAGGCATGTGATAACACTGTACTAAGCACTACTGTTAAATACTTTATTTTTGCTTGGAATTAATTTTCGTTATTTTAAAATCCAGTGAATATAGCTTTTTTCCTATATTTTACATTCAACTCGCCAAAAATCAGTGAAAATAAACTCCATAAAAAACATGCAAAAAAGTCTTTTCAGCGAAAATAAATTCCAGCCAAAATAATTTCTTTCACAGTAATTCACAACCAGGGGTAACATCACCTCAAATTTATACGTCCATGATGTAAAAATGTTTGGATTACACACATGAATATTTCATTGCACTCTCAAAATCATAAAATAGAATTACATCACTATATTCAGGTTATAGTAAGCATGCAGACATGAAATGGACATAGGAAACAGTTCCATACTCGCATATAACTAAGTATTATACTTATGTTTGTTTTACATTTAGGGATGCAGAACACATGCCAAAAAAAATACTTAGTGCATCCCCAGAAAATAATATAATTACATAGCTTTAAACATCAATCAACATCAATCAGTGACCCACACTTAATCATTATGAAAGTTAACGAATACACAAAAAGTGTTAACATTTTATTTACAGCCATGGCATTTTTTTTATATGTGATTATTTTAACATGTTGGTACAATATTTCGAAACACTCATAGCAAGTCATAGTCGAAATGTTAACACCCAGCATGCAATAAATTCTTTCAGATTCCTACAAGTCACAGCTAACAATCAGATTTGTAGGAATCTGAAAAACGCGTTTCAGAACTTGTTTATTTATTAATTTTTATGCCGTATTCAAGATGGCGACCCCCATATAGTAAATATCGCATTTGTGTGCCAGCTGACTCTGGTCCCATGCATTTAAAACATGATGTTCACAAAACTAGCGTGATCACCGCACAATTTTTCCTATCACAATGTTTGGACAATGAACCCCAACAATGAAGCAACCGCTTCCCCCTAATTTTAAATGGTTCACGCCTGCTCATTCCATCCCTCTAAAACATGTACTTACGCAATCGTTATTCCAATATCCATAAACCTCCCATTTGGTTTACAGACTTTTATAGCTTCATCTCGGCATTTTTTTGCAGTTTCAATGAGGCGTATTCCATCATCATCAACATTTCCCACTATGCAAGTTTCTGACACATCACCATGGTAACCATCATGATACACCTACATAAAATATAATATAAACTGTTATTTAACATAACGTTTATATTGTACGCTCATCCAGACCACCATCAATGAAGCAATTCTTAAGTAGCAACAGGAGAAAAATGAGTTACAAGATTTGGATATTGCTAGCAAGGAAGTGAAGGTAAGGAGTGGATGCTGCCTTATTCATAAAGTGAAAATAAAGTATTTTACAGTAGTTTGAATGCCATACCAATTTTTGTCTAAGGGATTACCTGAAGGTCAATTTTATAGGTACAGGTAATATTTTTAGGCAAGCAATAGAAACCATACTCTGTATTTGGGATGAAGCAATAGGGGTGTATGACCATCTTCTTTCACAACGGCAACATCGGACAAACACACCGCTGTATGACTATTACCCAAGTTTCCCCAAAGTTCGGGGTAGAGTTTTTATCTGTTCATTGTGTTCACAATCAGAGACAGGTTTGAAGTCAAAACCACAGCGCCACCATTGATCAATTATTCACATTATGGTAAATTAAGACACTATAAAATACTTTATTTTGGCTGGAATTAATTTCCCTGAAAAGACATTTTGACTGTTTTTTATGATGCCTATTTTCACTGATTTTTGACAAGGTGAATTTAAAATACAGAAAAAAAAGTATTTCCACTAGAATTTATTTTTACTGATTCATACTTTTATCGATATTATAAAAAAAAATTACAAGTGGAATGAAATTACTTTACAGTTATACTAACCGTGACATCCAAATTAATAATGTCGCCATCTTCAAGAGGTCTAGAATCCGGTATGCCATGAACCATAACATTGTTAACAGATGTACACAAGGACTTGGGGAATCCATTGTAGTTAAGAGTTGACGGATAACAGTTATGTTCAATACATGCATCATGAACTACTTTGTCAATATGGTCTGTTGTTACTCCAATCTATAAGTAGGGGTGAAAAGTCAGACAAGTGTAAAGTTGTCGTTATTTTTTAATATTATGAGCAGTTATAAGATGCACTGAGTGAGTAAGCAGACACTTGAACATAATCTGACTAGGTCTAGAGACTGGTAGGTCAATAAAGCTGCTGTTTTATTAGCTGTGACTGTTTTAAATTAACTGTTTAAAGAGGCAAATTCAGTTCTTTTACTTAGAAACAGAATTATGAAAGCTAAGATGGTAGTTAAAAATCAATACCAAATTAGTAGACGACTAACTAGCTATAACCGCGGGTCTAAATGAGAATTACTGTTAAAGTAAATACAGCGGTTACATTATCCCATACTTTTGCTGTATTGTACGAGGCTACTGCATTCCATCTTATCAGGAACTATAAATGATCATGAAAGATTTCAAAAGAAAGTTCACAACGAGGAAGTTTCAGTAATTTCAAAACTTTGCCCAATTCTGGGTTTCATCCATTAAAGGGGAACCTTCCAATCCCAGGGATTGCATCAAAGAATGGGACACTATTGTTTATGTTGTTTACAATGATAAATTATCTTTTGTTATTCATTGTAATTTTAATCCAGAAAGTAAATTTGTTGTGAAATTAGGCTTAATGAAGATTAATAATAATTAGGCACTCTGGCAGTACACGATTACATCTGCAACATAATAGAGTACTCCCACTGTGTTATATTCATGCATACCATATTAATATGAGATTCATTCAGGGAATTTTGCAACCATGACAACCATTGAAACCATGCAAGATTTATGAATAAGGCAGCATCCACTCCTTACCTTCACTTCCTTGCTAGCAATATCCAAAATCTTTCTAGCGATCCTACAGGATTTACGCATGTATTTTATGTCTATTTCATCTTTGTACGACCATTTTTTATCTTTTTGTGGAACCTTTCCAGTTTCAGCATACGGGGGCCTCACTATATGATCTGGAACAGTTCTTATCGGACTGATCTCCTGTGGGTCAACTATGCTATACGGTAAATCAGTATTGGGCGTTCTCCAGAGAAAGCGTAATGCATCTATAAATGAAGTCCTTTTTACCACAGGAAATTGTGTAGTTGGTGAAGGTGGAGAACGATTTAATAGAAGACATAGTGGTGATAAAAATTGCTGATGTCCAGACATAGTATTAATCTTTGAAAACTGTAAAACCCCTGAAAGGAGAAAAAAATAGCTTTATAACATCAAATACTGTGAATTTCATGATTATTTTATATAAAATACTTATAAAAATTTCAAAAGACTCTTGAAAACAATGCATTTAGGGTAGCTTTACAGTAAATCAGAAATTAAGAAAACTTGCAAAGACCCATGAATAATGGGAGTTACCAAATGGCTTTGATAGTCAATGAAAGCATCTTCTTTGGATTTTACTTTAGCTGTCATTAATTTAAACGAGTGTTTTTCATGTGTTATGGTACATTTTGGTCGAAAACAACCATTCTCTTACATAAAACTTCTAAATAGACAAGTGAAATCATTAGTGCATATATTCATGGTCCTACCAAGATGTGCTTAGAGTGATCATTTGGGCGTCCAAACATCTTAATTGACGCATTTTCCGGAGCCCCCCTCCAAGTCCATGATGCTACTAGCTTGGATTGGATTAGCATAATTTAGGATTCCACCTTTCCCTATTTATACCCTCAGTTCCCCTTTAACTACTGTTTAACTATTAAACATTACCGGTAGTATTTGTGAAGTTGAGATTTATTTACAAATTTTGTTTCTAGTGTTGAGGTGTGTGCTTGCTATATATTAGGAATATGATATAATACATGAATATGCATATTCCTGTGAATTTGGAACGACCATGATCTATTTTGGATTGTGTGTATTTCACATTTTTTTCAGCAAACAATGTATGTACAATGTATGTATGCTATTGAGTAATGTGTCACTTGTTATAATACATGAAATAAAATATTTCATACATATATGTGCTGTTATTATTTTGTGGGAGAGCGGGTGTGAGAGATGTATGTTAGGTGTATTTTGTGCATGGTGGTTGTCTGTTCGATGTGATAAAATAAATAACACCAGAGGTACATCACTTGGGGTTTGCAACTTGCATAGTACTGTATGGTGACATCATGTCAAGATCCCATTCAAGTCTCTTCTCATAGATAGCGAGACTGAGGCTACGACCTTCTGACATGACGCATATCATTGTTCAAGGTTTGTAATGAAAAAAATAAACTTTTCTTGTCACTATCATAGTGAAAAATGTAATACATCGAAAATGTACAGAAAATATAGTTCTCGTAATCCATCATATCGTGGGCAGCTATTTTGATCCACCTGGACATCCCAGTATCCTAGTTACCTCGGGCATGCGCATTCGCATTTTTTCTGAGTTGGAACGCTAATGCGAGAGCGAGATTGTGACGGGATCTTGGTATCATGTCACCGCAGTTACAAACCCCAAGTAATGTACCTCTCATAACACATAGTCATTCTGGCAATATCACGATTTGTTGTCTGCCTTCGACTATGGTATCATTAATGTCATGGCTATGACACAGTCAAAGGAACTGTGGTTATGACAATCATCCCTTTGGGCAGACAACAAATCGTGATATTGCCCTCACAAACATGTGTTTTTATTTAATTAATATTCCACACACAGTGAAAGCGCGTATCCACGCTGCTGCACAAACAGCAAAGCATTTACTCGAATAATTGCACGTTGAAAACACCATGTCATGGAATACCAGTGCTGGTGCAGTACGGCAATGTAAAGAGAAAACACTCGCCACTAAATATACAATAATAAACGGTGACAAACTCACTTCGCACCAAGGGCGCAGCCATCTTGGAAATAGTTTGTTGGTGGTTGCTTTCCGCTAATGCGGGATTGCGCCAGCAGGCGTCCAAAATTGGATTGAATTGGAATACAGTACTTGTATGACTTTGTTTTCGAGTTAAAATATATAGGATAGTGTTCGTGTACCGCACACAACAAAATGAAGTATATTGCGCAAATTTCTTTAAAAGTACTGTAGTGTTACTCGATTGTTATCTGCCGTCAAATATACTAGTTTTTTATCCTCTAGCTTAAACCCTTGCCCCTCGTTTATAGAACAATACGCACATATTAACGTGACATAACAGTCATATCAAAATCAATGGAACATTTAATTCTGAATAGATCTATCAATCAGTTTAGTTTTAAAAAGAAACATTCCACAGTAATGTCTGTGTGTGTCCTCTGGGTGCATCAAAAGAGTGGACACTCGTTAGTGAACTGCCAGTGGTTGACCGCAAAGTTCCTAGCAATACTACTACCGGTATGTTACATTGGGAAGTTCTGTCTCGTGACTGTTTTCTGGTTCTCATGTAGTGCGACGACGAGGTGTTATGGTCACAGTTTTATTAAAGAGGGGGGAGTCGTCGGGAGGGTCGGTACCTGCGCACGCGCTATGGCCATCTGACGCATGCGCAGGTGAAATCGTCTCCTTTCGAACCTGTATGATTCTGATGTGCGATGGAAGCACTTTACCAACACTGGTATATGCCGATGTTCTATTTATCACATGTTTTTATTATTATTTGTTGTTTGAACTGTTCTTTCTTGTCAAATTCTCTATATCTTAGGAATTGGGGATTTTACACAATTTCTCTCCGCTGTGAATTTCGGTGCTATAAAAGTCTGAGATACAGGGTCCTTTTTGCGATACCGTTTTCCCGTCGCCCTCTTGTCCCGCACTCCGACGGACATACTGATGCGTGTACTACACAACCATTTTGGCAGAAAATCTGGAGTGTACATTTTCTGTGGAATTTTTGTTTTAAAATATAGCAATTACAAATTCATCAAAATATGCTTCGCGAATATGTCACGTGTAGAGGGCGCTTTTCATGTTCCTCTAATGTAAATGGTTATCATTAAAACTTACATTATCTTGACCAAAATGAAAAGGTTTTCAAGGTAAGCGAAAATACTGCGTATGTATGCGACCAACTGGCGCGGCAACTCCGGATCGCGAATCCTCAATGAAAATAACAGTGGGACACAGAAAGTAGGTTGAATCCACGTAAAACTGAACCGCATTAGTAAACGAGGATTCGATTCGGTTCTCGTAAAGACCAGGCAATATTCTCCGGTAATATCGGCAATTTGACGGCAGACACATTCAAATGTGAGTGATGATACAACCTCGTAATATAACCCAGCCAGTACATAAGGGTATCAAAACAAGTACCTGTCATTCGAGACAGGTCAAGTTATGTAGCATGTTGGATAAAACATTACACCACAGCTGTGTTTTTTATAATCCCATTGCACGGTTGATTCGACGTATTAATAACATATTCCATTTGCAGCGTCACCACTCGTTTTCAATTAAAAATGCCAACTCGGGCCATTGTTTTCCCCTCCGCTTCATCGTTATTTATTTCAAGCGACCGTCTGTCAAAAAATATACAACTATATTAGCGTAACGTCTCTCAGGATAGCAAACACGAGTCATGTTGAACTTACGTGTATATTTCGCGTTGATTATATTAGTGTCGCTTTCCATGCTCTCATTTGTTTTTGTCGGTAACGATACGAAATTTTCAGAGCAGACATTGGGGAAGATTGCGCGAAAGGACAGCGAGAGTGCTGTGCTGTCGCCGTTTCATGCCCAGACCTCAAGGATGACGGTGAGTATGTGTTTAAACCACCATTGTCACGGTGAAATAATACATTGCTTTTGTCGCTGGTGACGTCACACTGGTCCAAAATGGCGACACTGGCCGTAGTGTCACATATAAGTATGTAGTGTTATATTGCCGTTTAGATCACTAAAATTAGGACAATAATCTGTGAAATTGTTTACTTAATATGTAGAGATAAACGTGTGAATGCTATTTAAGACTTCTCTCTATTTGGACTAATTTCTAACGTTTTTCAATTATTAAAACGTACATACAATGATGACGTTCGTATATGTGTGCATTTACTAGTATTACATAAAATCGACAATGAAAGATTGTAATAACAATTGCGTTATAATTTGTTTAATTAGTTTATTTGAACATACCAACAAGAACTGAGAACTGAGCATTGGCGAATGGCATTTATTCCACAGCTACTTCTTTTATTTACCCAATTGTTCAAAGTTCATACGTCATAATATATTAAATCAATACATATAGTTTATACTTCATTTCATTTCAGTTTCATTTTGTAGTAAATATCTAGTTATTATATGCTTTAATGTGACTTATAAAAAATGTATATCAATATTCAGACAACTGTCGTATCTATGTGAGGTCACAAACACAATAGTCATTCCAACGGTGAGCTAAGGAGCCCTGCTTTGAATTGTGTTTATGATATTTCAGCTTTGTGGATGACATTTATCAGTACGGCGCTTTCCCCCGAACTAGATAATTCACCCAATACATTTGTTAGGTATTGGGGGCTATGTTACTATAATGGGAGAAAAGATCTATCAGAAGATATTTATTTTAAAATATATTTATTTTTTTCTGCATGAAAAAAAAATGTTTTTATTAAAACATTGGTAATCCAACATCAAAATATACGTAGATTTTTCTGTTGGGCTAATCTAAATACGCATCACAAGATGTGCATTTTTGGGTTATCAAAAATCGCTGTGTCACTCGAATAATTATGTTGCTAGGTTTAAGGTATGTGATTTGTTTGTACATATGTACGCATATTTGAGCGCATGAGCAGCGACAATTGTTCCTGTCAAAATAAGTCTATAATTAATCGTTTTTAGCTCTGTTTTCATTTTTTATTTATTTTCTTCATCCTTGCAACATGATATATAAAATCTGCAAAGCTAGAGAAAATTATCTTTACTTTTGTGTAGCGTTTTACCTAAACAGGAATCCCTCAGTCAATACTCAATTGTAACTTATTATTTTCTTAACCGATGGTGTTTACAAGTATGTATAAATGCGTACATAAATTAAGGTACAACTTTCTGTCGTTCACTGTAATGCACATGTAATCTTATAAAATCATATATATCTAATACCACAGGAGTTCTTGCAGTCACTACAGAGAAAACTTGGAAACGGTGACTTGAAACCGCTAAAGTTCAAATCGACAGCGGATTCATCTTCCGCTCGCTATCTGCTACCGATATTCAAGAGATCCATGGGTGGATCTAATTGTCAATACAACGCATTCAAAAACGCCATAAAATTAGCATATGAAACAAAGAGGGCAGTTGTTTTGACACCTTTCTTCTTACATGGTGGCTATGTTACTGGGCAATACAACTTGGACAATATGAGAGACTTCAACGAGACATTCAACGCAAAACGATTGGATAAATTGTTGCCCGTGGCAACGCTCGATAAGTTTAAAGAAGTATGCAATCATGGCGAAACAAAAGTTGTGACCTGGGATATTGGCCCGCCAGGACATTACGAGGAAACAAGGAAAACAAGATTCGGGGAATATTATGGGATAAATCTCCCACCAGCGGCGGAAGTGGTGGATCCAACTCGCACCACTTCAGAGGAAGTAAATGTCTTCGACCAATCACCATGTGCTGCGTTTTATAACCCTCGAGTGATTAACATAGAATTTGAAAACGAGGCTAAGTTGTCGCGAGATGTAGACCTCCATCTTGTGAGGACGCCGAATGTTTTAGCCTTGGCTGATGAATTGAGCGAGTACATTTGCGACGGTGAGCCGTATTTAGCACTTCATTGGAGGAACCGATCCGCAGAAAAACCGTAAGTTTAAAGTTTGTATAATCCATGTCACTCGAGTATTTCCGAGCTCGACGCTAGACAATTTTTCGATTTGGTCACGTTTGGGTATCTTATTTTAAAAATCTAATTCAGCAAGCAATAATCAGATGTGAAACATGTTCAAGTTTGTGACCACCCCAACCCCGACACATTTTCATGTAAGTGTTTGTGAGGTTACCGATTTACATTAGTCGCGACAGGCATGGTCATTATTCTGCTTTACCACAGCTGTGTCTTCGGCTCGAAACAAGAAAGTTATTGTCAGCAATTACAGGCAGTGATGTCAGAGTTAGCAAAAGACGCCAGTGTCGCAATTCGGCGTTTCATGGATCAAAGAAACATACAGTGTATGTATGTGGCGTATCCATCTTGGTCCAAGGTAAGTTTTCTTTTAAGTAATAATCTATTCATATAAGTAGACTAATAATAGTGATATTTTTTTTTGGGAATACTTTTCATCGTTCGCTAGTACGACTAGAATAGTCTTTGTTATGCGAGCGATGACGCAATGTGTATGCCGTGACTGCCTGGTAGATTTATATTGCCTCGAATTCAAATAAACATGGTCCACAGTCCCTCAAAATCCAGTCTCGTTTGTGGCCAGGTGTCAACTTGAAGCCATACACGACGACGGTGGTGGTGACGATGTAGTCTGTGGTTTGTTCACATCCTCTTTGTGCATATATCCTGCATCTAAATACCGAGGTCCTTTTTGCATTATGTCATCCCAATCAATATCACTGACGCTGAAATATTCGTGTTTTCCCCGAATTTCGTTAAAATAAAATACCCAGAAGTTGAAACTTAACAGCAGTGAAACATCAAACTAAAGTTGTGTACGCCTGCGTGTACGCCGAAATCGCGAGGAATTATGGGTGAAAATGATGTCATACTATATGTAATTTTATGTTAATGTTGACAGTGTGGGGATCATGATTACCGGCCGGTAAATTTTACGAACGCGAAACACACATTGTGACAATAGAACTCAGAGCGTTTCCTAACTGGGTGTTGAGGGGCTGTGTATGGTTGAAACAATGATTTGTCATTTTTTTTTTTTGAAATAGCAAAAGGCCTTAGGCGTAAATGGCCGATGAGATCTCGCCGAGAATGGGAGAGCCACGTTACTTTTTTTCTCCGACATAAGTGTTCAATTCTCACATTCCAAATATCACGATTGTTGGATCAGTTGAATAGTTGTCGAGATCGACAGTAGAGAAGAAAGTAACTACTTCATTCGTTTACAACGAGATCTCGGCACCCATTTGTGGCTATTGGTTTTTATATTGCTCCTAAATAAAATGAACGATAGTGTATAAACTTATTTACTAAATAGCGAATGCTACCTATACAATTCTCTAATCATAGCTACTGGATCGATTAGCTACAATACATTACCATATGACTCCACTAGTGACAAGTTGGATACCAAATAATATAAAAAAATATATAAAGATCATAAATGGAATTGGTGTATCACGGCTTGCCACACATTTATACGATTGTCATACTCATATTACGTTAATTCCTCTGCGCATTGTGCTTCACATAAAGTGTAATGGCTTTCAGTATCGTGTATGTCTAGTTGAAAGACACCCTCTTGAGGTGACAGTGTTTATTTTACTGGCGCCCTCTAATTAAATGTGCAATGTAAAATCGTGTTACTAAATATTAAAATGAATACTGAATAAGTATTACCAAATCAATTGATATTGATGCAAAAAACATCATTTACCGACATTGTATTTGCTTCCAGGAAATAATAGATCATTTGGGTCGAAATATTGACCGAAAGAAAATCTACACTGCTGATAATATCACTTCAAATGTGAGGGCGTCCCAGATCAAAGACGATTTCTATCTGTTTTCATTATTGGAGCAGGAAATATGTTCACGTAAGTTATAATGAATCTAATTATTCCATATCTGCACAGAGTAGTTTGGCAAATCGAAAATGTTCTTATTCAGGTGGAGATGGCTGTACATGTACTAGTACTATGCCCCGAGTTGTTTCCTGTTTCAGGATAAACCGAACTAGGAATCTACGTCTAACAAATCAGTGTTACAATAAATACTCCTGCATTTCGACATTCCTTTTGTTATATATTCTAAAAATTCACATATGATAAAGTATAGATTTAATGCGAGTTTTGAAGATGTGTAAGAAACATAACCAAAAAAAAAATAACTAAAACAAAACTAATCTCATAAAAAAAAACAGAAAAAAACAGTCTCGAGAAATAGTCAAGTGAATTTTGTTTCAACATTTTGCGAATTGTATTTTTAATAATAATGTCTGTAGTAATGTTGGTCTATCATTTTACAAAATAATTCTGACAGATTGTTTTCAAAGTAACAATTAAAAATGTTTTAATGTCCGTTACATCAAAGGATATACATACTAACGGTTGTGTTTTCAAATTGTTCCATATCAAGAAACACGTACATTTGTTATGGTACATTGTACATTGCAGGTTCTGAAGTGTTTTTAGGTGCCGGATTGTCACTTTGGTCGCAGTTTGTAGCTGAAGAAAGATTGGCAAATGACAAGGAATCATACTATACTCACCAAATCATGGGCATATCGGACCAAAACAAAACTGTACTAAAACTTATGTAGACACATACACACAAATATTCTATAATTTAAATGTTGATCGATACATTTTCGTGTGTACATTTCATATCATTTGACATAGGAATTATATATATGTCACCGTAACGCCATAAGTTACAGCGTGCCGTAATTTCGCGGTAATTTACGGGGTATTTTCATCCTAGCATGTAAGGAAATGCGAATTCTAAATATGGAATGGTTACGCGCGTAAGCGTCCTCTAATAATAAAAACACAAAGAAGTTCGTTGATTCCGTTTTTAACTTTTTGGATTTCGGCATTCTCATGATGTATCCTGAAAAAGATGTATAATAATAAGGTTATTACGAGGATACCTCAAAGTATGCCCGCAGACACTGCACCGCCGCATTGGTCGATACTCCCACTATACTGTCCTCGTGCATACTTTAAGGTATCCTCGTAATAACCTCATATTCTTTACGTGTAGCAAACAAAGTTCTGAACATTTTATTTATTTTGAAAATGCATGTTCGTGACACATCTGTATATTTAATGTTAAGCCTATTCCATTATAGATATTTTTCCTCATAAAATAAACGTGTTTTTCTCGAAACTAGTTTGATGATGTCCTTTGAAATTGCATCGATCAACCTTATGATGTTATTGTATTCAGTAGAGACTAATGCATGAATGAAACTGTGTGTTTGTTGTGTATCCCATTTTAGTGAACCTGGTCGTACATTATCAGATTGAGTACATGGCGTCCTTATTTTTTTTTTTTTTACAAAATAGTGTCATATCGGTAATTGAGAATTATTGTCACTTTTCATTACAACTGACTATATATTCTGTATTTCTCTCTCTTTTTTAGCTCCGCTATCGACTTTGTCGAGCGGAGCTTATCATATGAGTGATTGTCCGTTGGCGTCCGTCGTCCGTGTCAATGTTTCACTTTTTCAACTACTTTTTGAAAACTACAAGCCTGAATGCTTTGATACTTGGTGTATATGTACCTTGGGTAGACCTCTCCTAGATTTGTTTATTTCATGATGATATCTTTAATTTTTTTAATTTTGGTGAATATTTTTATATTTTGTTAGTAAAAATTGATATTTTCGACTTCTTGTTAA